CATCGGTTTTATAATCAACCGAGTTAAAATTCTTTATACGTTTCGGGTCCCCATGAACCGAGACATATAAATTCGACTAAACTACAAAAATGCCACCGTGTTTTAATAGGCTTCGGTTCCTTCTAAACCGAGACCTATAAGACGAGTTAAAAAGCAGTTTTTTTACTAGTGTGTGAAGAAGATATTAACTCCTTTTTTTACTTTAATATTTTGTAATAAGGAAGTTTGTTTTGTAAGTTACTCCTTTTTTTACTTTAATATTTTGTAATAAGGAAGTTTGTTTTGTAAGTTTCTAGGTATGGTTTGTTTGATTCCTATATATTTTTAATTTTTTTACTAAATTATTTTATATGATAACACTAGTGCAAAATGAGGTTAAGAACGCGGGCCATATGTCTCAGTTTTCAGAAAACCGAAGCATATGTAAAGACGATGACATTTTTGCAATTTTAACGAACTTATACGCCTTAGTTACAGTGGAACCGAAGCATAAAAGCAAAATTACCTTAGTTAAAAGCGAAACCGACGAGGCATAATGTTTTCCCACTTCGCACCTAAAACTGGCTATTCAACTGACAACTTTTAGAAATTGCTCTATTGCCTCGGTTCTCTGACCAACCGAGGTAGAAAAGTTATGTAATTTTCCAATATTTTAGTCTATGTCTAAAAGGGGTTAATCAGATTTCATTTTAAAACCCTTGGCCTTCATCATTGGTTCTTCTTCTTCTTCTCACAGATAACCCCACCATTATTGGTTCTTCTTCTTCATTATTTATGGCTCGTGCAAGGGCAATAGACTCGGGGAGGAGGAGACAACGGTGTGGAGATGGCGCGACCAGGCAACGTTCGTGGTGGTTCGCGGTGGCGCATGGGCCATGAGACGCGGTTTCATCTTTGGGTTCTCTTCTTCCCTTCTTTCTTTTCGGGTTCAGACGCGTTTCGCGTAGGCAGGGGCGGCCGATGCGACTTCGTCTCCGTGGCGTGCCTGTTCGTGGAGGTGGCAGCAGTGGCGTGTCGCGATTTAGAGTTTCGATTTGGGGCTTGACGACACTGTGGGAGGCGCAACTCAGGCACGATCTCGCCTTCGTTGGCGACGGCTGGCGGTGGATCTCGCCTTTGTAAGGTATCGTCCTTAACGTAGCAAAGACGCGACAATGGAGCGACAAGGGCGCGATAATGGTGCGGTGGTGGTGTGGTGAGGGCTTCTACGTTTGGCGGCAATGGTTTCGCGACAAAGGTTTCGCGGCGAGTGATTTTTGGTGATTTGAGTTCTCTGTAACCACTGTCTGCATGCAATTGTGATATTGTCTCTAACCATGTTAGTTTAGTATTAGTAAAAAGGTCGGATTATATTCAAATTAAGAATTCAATTAAGAAAAATAAAATAAAATAAAAGGACCTATTAATGTTTAAAAAAATATGGACACCACTTAAATGATTAAAACGAAAGTTTATGACTCCAAATAAAACATAAACACATTGTTGGATGAACATAAACTACTGAATTTTGAACATGAAGCTGTTCATATATTCTGAACTATCAGGAGCTAAATAGTGTCACTATATATGCATCCATGCTATGCTGTTACTATCAACCAATGCACCAATTGTACAATTTATGATGATCTATGGAGTGTGCAATGAGTCAGTGAGATAAATAGAAGAATCACACACAAAAAAATAGAAAATATTCTTTGTCTGGATGTATTAGCTTCATGACAAAGTACACTAAATGTCTGTGTCGGTTATGTATATTTATATAAACAGAATATTACAGTTATACAGGCTACTGGCTCTTAATATCCAAATATGAGGCTGGATATTATTCACTCATAATAATTAAATTATATAATGTTAGAAGATATTATAAGTTTTTTAAATTTTCTCATTTGTACGTTTCTAATTTTGAACATGCTAAAATTATTATTTTTTTGGAACTTTCAGTACTTTTATTTAGTTAAAAAAATATTGTACCCTATAAAATGAAAATTGTAAGAAAAAAAGTCTTATAATAAATTATGGCATTAATACTATTTCTGTTGTCCTTATAAGTTGAATGATTTTTGTATGTTAGTTTCTGTAAAATAATTCCTTTTCTTTTTTGGGTTTCTTCTAAAAATTAAAATTACTATTAAAAAAATAATGTTATGAACTGAAAAAAAGTGGTTCAAAATTTTACAGAATCAAAATCAGAGGAAAATATTTATAGAAAATAAAATAAAATCAAAGTTCACATATTTTTTAAGAATTAAAAACAATCATTTTAATTCTATAGGAATAAAAGCGAAAACAAATTTACAAGAATCAAAATCCAAAACTAACTTCCTATAAAATAAAAATCCATTAAATTATAAATTATACTAAAACCTAGTGGTGGGAGAGGGGAGTAAGAATAAGGTGAATTGTTGAAAGAGGGTTGGATTCTTACGTGTCACTGCGAGAAATCTGGATAGAGTCATATGAAATACATGTGGATTCCTTTTTTCATGGCACTCCTCTATTTTCACTTTCTCTATATATCTATTATCTATCTATCTATCTATATATATATATATATATATATTGAATGAATCTTTAGAAAATATTTTGAAGATGTTAAGATAAATGTATACAAATTTTGGTAGTACCAAATATATAAAGTATACTAAATTGTTTTCAAAAATAATATTTATATATTAATTTAAATATATAAAAACTTGGAGTGTTAAAGCCCTTATAGATTTTTTTTAAGATCCGTTCCTCTCTATATAAATATATATTACATCATTTATGAATTATGAATGAATTGTTGGGAGAGAGACATGAATGAGTAATTGTTTGGTGACTTATATTATATTAGAGAATTGTTTTATTAATAAAATTATAGTATTGTAACTTATGAAACTTTTGTATATAATGAACTAGTATCCTTTCATACAGATTAATTATAGGTAATAGTTGGTATATATTAGGAACTTTAATAATATGCATAAAAGTTGGTATATGAAACTTTTGTACATATGGTAATTGTTACTCACATAAAGTTTGTCTTTTGGGGTTAAAATTTTCTCTTGCTTGAGTTGTTATAATAATAATAATTTATATGAAATTACTCATTTTATAATATATATATATATATATATATATATATATATATATTAAACATTTGAATATTATCTATTGTTTTTTAAATCTTTTTTGTTAATTAACTCTTAATCATGCAATCATTTTAATTTGTTGGGTACAAACAAAATCCCACATCGGATAAAATAAAAGATGAACTTGAGTTTATATACACATAACATACCTCCATTGATAAGAGACTTTTGAGAATGATATCAAAAACAAATTATGAAGCTTTGATCAAAAGTAGATAATATTTTACTAGTAAAGACATTTATGTGTACGTGTGTCGCAACCTTCCTACAATGAATTAATAACTTTTATTAGGAGAAAATATTCTCTCTATTATACGAATTATTATTTTTATTTATGTTACAATGATGATTACATAATAATATTAAATATACGTAATAGATGACGATAAAGATGTTGGGTAATGATGAAAGGGTGTTTAAATAGGGTTAACATATAATAACACAATTGTTGACGGTTGGAATCTTATTGTATGCATGTAAGCAACAAAAAAGAAATAGGAATCTTGCATGTGAATGATAGTTACAATTGCTGAGATGTGACTGGATTTGGCTCTTTTTGGATATGATCATGTGTAATTTTTCACGGGTTAAAAAACAATTCATCAAAACTTTAGTACTTTATCATCATTGTATAAAACTATCCATCCATCACCATGCTTCACTCAACTTGCTTGTTCATCACAAAAAAATATCTATCAGTAACGTAATTCAATTGATCCTTCTTAAGATTCAAACTTTGGCTTCGAACATACAAATTTTCTAAACGATATTGTAATTATTTTTTCAAAATTAATAAATTGATTGATTTATCAATTTTTAATTAATGAATGTTAATTTTTTTAATCATAATTCACCCATATAAATCATGTCAATTGCTTTTTATTTATCATAGATAAAACAAACAATACATTTATTAAGAAAAAATTTTGTTTTAATAAATTGGTTTTTACTAAAATATTTTAATTGTTTGCAGTAGTTTCTCGTAAAAACTTCTAAAAGAAAAAAAGAATTAAATGCGTTTCTTCACTGGTTAAAACTATAATTTATGCACAAGTTAATTATAAAGTTTAAAATTTAGAGAAAGACACAAAATAACTTTTATACAATAGCTTATCCATACATTATGAATTTATTATTATTTCCTGTTCTCAAAATATACATTTTGTAAAATATAAGCTTAGAGTATAAAATAGACAAGAGAATAAGATAAAATATATTAAAAACAATTTCTTGTAACTTACATTGTATAACTCAAGCGTTCTAAGCAACTCAAAATTATCATTTATTTAGTAGTTTTAAGATGTGAATTTCTGTTTAGAATCCGATTTTAAAAATGTATCTATTGAATCTCAAAGTTGTAAAAATTAGATAAATGAAGTCCTCTCCGTTAAATTGGCTTAAACGGAGTTAAAATATGACTTTTTTTCTTCTCTCTCATCTGTTCTTTCTGCAAGTTTCGACTTTTTCTCTCTCTTCTATTTTCAATCATTCATCTCGATGGCTCTCTTCTGCAACTCCTTCTTCTCTCCCTCTCTTCTGCATCGTCCCTCACATCTTCCTCGTCAATTAATTTTGTGTGCAAAGATCATGCTAGATATTTATGAATGTCTAACGAATAAAGAGGAATTATAGTGAGAAATTATAGTGAGTTTCTAGACTCTCAATGTAAAGACAATAGTTTCAAGATGGAAACATAAAGATTAAATAATGACACAAATTTCAATTTCAGATATTTATTACTACTCTTCAATTTCAAACAATACTACTCCCAACAAATCCACGAAAATTTATTGAATTCACAGTGAGTGCATCATGAATTTCCACTAGCATTAAATTAAAGGGTGATGGCGAAGTGCAAGGGCATCATAGTGATGACACTGGTGCATCTGTGGTGGTAGAAGGTTCATCATATAAGCGAAAGGTTTCATATCTAATATTACAACTGGGTGTTGCAACTCTACCACTTATCTTGCCGCTGCTTGCGATTCTTGAGAAAGCATCAACCAAGCACCGGTTGCAGTCTTGTTGAGACAAGTCAGGAGTGCACTGCGCAACACCATATATGGTGGTTTCTAAATTTGTTGCAGTTGCATTTCCGGCAGCATACTTACGACGAGAGTCACTTGATGCAGCAGCTATGCCTGTTAGATTCTCCACCAAGTTGTCCAACACTTGATTGAACCGGTCCACATTTGTTGCATTCACTAACATCAACGTATAAAACAAAGGTGAAGTTTCCATGAGGCCAAATATTGAGCGGTTTGAGTAACACAACATGCACTTGTCATACCACCCAATTGCCTCTTTCTGGTTTGGACAAAGCTGTGTGAGGAGGACCGTTGAATTATTTATGCAGTTGCGACATTCATCTGCTTTAACATCTCCTCTGCACAACCCAATGTCGTATGATTTCTCATTGTTTTCGTCGTAGGAGCGGTTGTAGAAGCCATAGTCGATCTGTGTGTTGGAGGTGAGATTGGAAAAAAGGGTGTTGAGGTTGGTGTGATAAGTGTTGTTGGATGTGAAGCTGCCTTTATCACTGAGACAGAAGTAATCTAAGAAACTTGGTTGCGCGCTAGCTTGAGATATGATTATGAAAAGGAGGCAACAAACATAGGAATGCAACCTTGAGGAAACAAAAACAACCATTGTGTTTGCGTTCTTTCAGAGATGAATTTGGTGAGTAAGATTTGTGTTGTTGATACTTGTATAAACAAAATTTGTTTGGCACCTGTATGAAACGAAACTTTATCATAGAATTGGAGGAAGAGGTCACATATGTTTGGCCATGCGTGTTCTTAATGCTTTGAATTGTTCTTGTTCAGACGAGGTGAAATGCTTTAAATTTTGATTAACGTATTGTGATTATAATTTGTATCCTTTTTTAAATTCAAAAACTCCTATGAATTCGTTCCTGCTTGTGTTATAAAAACACCATGTCAGCTACATATCACTCTAGGAAGAAATTATTAATTTACTGCTCTTTAAAACAATACCAAGTCCTTACTTTGAATGGGTAGCATCCAGCAAAAAAGTATGTATGAAAATGTTTACTGGATGCTCAAATAATTTTATAAGCAAAAGGGTCAAAGTGTGCATGCTTCATGGGATCTATATGCCGACACGAGTACAATTATTTAAAGTTTAGAGTAAAAAAAATTTTCTTCATCTATTCATTCAAGAGAAACAATGTAAGATTTGTGTGGAAATATTTATCTTGGATTTGTGTGGATAATTTTCTCTCTAAATATGTTTAGGAGAAAAAAAAGTAAAGTATTTTTATAAGTTATAACTAATATTCTTTTATCTATTTACTAAAAACAACTACATATAAGTTCTTCAAACAACCATCTTTGCTTTTTTTATTGTCTACAAAATGAAATGCATCTTTCTATTTATTTAATAAAAGGAATACTATAAGTCATAAGGAGTTCACTTAAGATTTACACTACTGCAGTTTAAATTGGAACCCCTGCCAAAGCCAACGATGTCCTCCACCCATACCCGCCCGCCTTTAATCTTGCATTTCCTAATTAAATACACTAATTAATCAAATAAATGAGTGTATTTAAAATTGAGTGATTGACGAGGAAGATGTGAGGGAGGATGCAGAAGAGAGGGAGAGAAGAAGGAGTTATAGAAGAGAGCCATTGAGATGAATGATTAGAAATAGAAGAGAGAGAAAAGGCTGAAACGTTGCAGAAAGAACAGATGAGAGAGAAGAAAAAAGTCAGATTTTAACTCCGTTTAAGCCAATTTAACGGAGGGGACTTCATTTATATAATTTTTACAACTTTGAAACTCAATAGATGCATTTTTAAAACCGGGTACTAAACAAAAATTCATCTCTTAACATGGGGACAAAGTAAACATTTAAGCCTAGTTTTAAACATGGAAAATAGAAAGTTAATGAAATATGAGAATGATAATTGTAAAAACCCATATTACTCTATACATACATATTCAATTTATTTATGGGCTTTCATAATAATATATCATTTATTAAATAGAAGATAGAAATTGTTGGGAAAGACCTACACATATTAGTATAGATAAATATAAACAGCGCATTATTTATTTTAAAAATGTCTCAATCTTCTCATCCTCATTACCTACATAACCTCAAGTAGGATTATCTACCTTGTCCTTTGTTCAAGTATAGTACATATATGATAATGGTACGTAGAAACCATAATCACAAAATGTAAGAGTAGTTTAATAAAATTTTAGTAAGTTAAAACTCAAATAACACACTCAATATTAATATATTACATAAGATCATAATCCATTTATGTCGCTCGAGAGCTATAATTATACACTTTATATATGAACAACAATCCCTCTAGAGTATGATATTAGTTTTCCAAAACACTAAATCCAATCTTATTTCATATCAAACCTCCAAATGAGAGAAAACCCCCTAGACTCTCACAACTAGATCTCGTCCTCTATGTGAGTCCAATACTAGCAGAGTTAGGATAATTTCTTCAAAATCCCTCTCAATACACCACTTAACTCCACTTAACATATTTGCAATCCTTTTGTAGAAGTTATTACATTCACAACATAAATTCACATATCACATATTCATATGATTATCACACCTTCACATGCATAGTTATCTTTCCTTAAGCTAACTTATCATATACCATCAACTATATTGTTTATTTCAATTTAAATACTAAACTTTTATCTCTACATTTCCATTTCCACATTTTAACTAGTCTTAACTCAAGTTATCAAATACCTAACTCATATTTTCTTCTCATTTACACACCCCATTTTCATACATCATAGTAACTATTATTCAATGAAAATTTATACTGAACAACATCATATACATGCAATCTATTATTCAAATCAACATACTTCACAACTCACGGTCATTCAATCATGATATTTCCAACTTCTGAAATTTTCCTTTTCACATTAATCATGCATTAGAAAATTATTTTGCTATTATTACTCAAGATGACGAAATGTATTTTTCTAACCATAGACCTCTGTTTGACAATCACAACATTCAAATTGAAGAAACATATTTTATGATTTATAAATTAAAATTTTAGATCAATCCAAAGATTAACAAAGTAGGTATCATGGTTTTACCGAGACAACATAAAAAGAATTGAAACAAGGTGGCACTCAAATCTCTCTTGAAACTTTGAAATTGATTCCTCTTACATCAAACATTTATGTGACAATCGTAGCAATCAAAGTAATTAACTATGTTTTAGGAATTACATATCAAAATTTTAGTCTGATCAAACGGTTAACATATTTAGAATTAAGGTTTTACACAGATAATTTAGAAATAGAAATAGTGTAGCGCTCAACTCTTTCAAATATACGAAACTAATTACTCTAATTAAAAATATCAAACCAATAATCCCAACTGTTAGAATGAAGATATATGCATTAGGAACTACATATAAAAATTTCAATATGATCAACGGTCAACCGATTTAAAATTGAGGTTTTATGCATATAACTCAAACAAAAATAGGATAGTGTTTAGCTCTCTCAAATATGAAAAACTACATCTTCTAAATACAAATAACAAACAAATAATCCCAATGGTCAGAATAAAAATATATGTTTTAGAAACTATATACCAAAATTTTAGCTTAATCTAAGGATTGATAAAGTGAGAATTGAGATTTAACCGAAACAACTCAAAGGACATAAAAAAAGAGAAAACATGAACATGAAAATAAGACAATACTAATGTAATTATATGCAATCAAATCACATAAGGAGACCAAATTTATATGATGGCAGTCCACACTGCATAAGAGAAAAAGGATATATGAAAGCATAAAACCTTAAAAATCTAAAACACAACAAATAATACCAACTAAACATAAACATGCATAAAACATTGTTTCACATTTTCCTGACAACTATCATTATCACACCAAACCCAAAATTTTAAGAGCATATTAATCATAAATCAACTCAACATATCACTCCAATAATCATACCATCAAAATCAAGTTATTAATTTTAAAACAAGTCGATTGTTAAAATTAAACTAGCATCCCTCACCCGGATTTCTAATTGGCGTAATATAAGTACTTTAACTTATAGAAAATTTGAGAGAAATGAAAATAAATGAATATGGTGTTATGTGGAAGAGTATCTCCTCTTCCCTTTCTCTTCTATTTATACTTCTCAATTTACACTTTATTACATTATGATAATACATCATTATTTACCTAATTTTTATTTATTATTACGGAACATCATGTGGTGGAATGGAGCAAATAGTGAAGAACAAATGCGACAAATCACTTCCCAAATTTGACACTTTACAAAATTTTATTAGTGCGATCATCTAATATCTTTTTGCCTTCAACAACAAGAGTTGCACAAAATATCTTTCCAATGCCAAATAGTGATCAACAAAATCAATCGTAAGACAATGATCAAGTGCAACAACAAGATGAACCCCAAGATCCAAAAATATCTTTTCCGTGATTATTAGTATTAGGAGTTTTAGACATGTTTAAGTTGTTATCTACTATACACTTTATTTATGACTATTAGATATTTGTAACATATAATGTTTAAATGTTTAGTTTTAGAGATTTTATGTACGAAGATTGTATATTGTTATATGAATATTGGTTTAAGTTTATAATGTTTGCATAATGAGTATTTGGTACAACATTGTTTGTTATTGCATGTGTTTTGGTGTATATGTATATGTAATACAACTTATTTTTACAAATTGTCAATTATGTTATATATTAATTTATCTATATATAATTACATAAAAAAAAATTTAAGTAATTACCTACTAATAAATCTGTATATAATTAATTATAAATTTATTCACATATAACGTTTTTTATGATTATTTTATATATGGATTTTAGTTATAAGAAATGAGCATTGTGGATTAAATATTCATGTCTACTTCTGAACAAGTAGAAACTTACTAAACGATGCATGTGCCGACATCTTTAAATCATGATTTGTCCTAGCTATATAACTAGCATATGATGAGCTAAATCAAGTTCTTTGTGTTTGAGATGATATAATATATATTAAATTATAGTTTATACTATCATTGTTTAAGCATATAGTAAAAATCAAACATAAATGTATTAAACTTGGATCTGATAATAACTACGAGACCAACGATATTTATCACCACAACTATAACATATTTGTTCAATTTATTTACTATTATTCTCTCGCCTTTTTTTTATCGCTTTTCATTATTTTTCCATTTTCAAGTTTCTTCAAAATCATATCCGCAAGCATTTCATCAATTTTATGGTAATAGAGAACGTGAGTTGGACTAGAGTGACAAACATATGCTTTATGCTTTCTATTTTATGTTTTGAAATATGTTAATGATCTCTATATATATAATTTCATATTTTATTTTCTTTGTAAAGTAGTTGGAACATCCCAAATGTTCTCTATATTCAATCAATTCTGTATTGGTGGTAAAAAAAACCCATAAAATCATAAGGTAATTGTTTTAATATATGAGAAAAAACACTTTAAACGGAGTCATTATACTATTAATGTAAAGTAAGTTTTAAATAGTGCCTATTAATTTCATAAAAAGCTAAGACCGTGCATGTAATCTAAAAATAGAAAAAGTTCATAAAAGTACGTAACACTATCGAAGA